AGAACTCACTAAGCAGGTTATGCTGGCTGGCCAATGAGTCCCAGAGATCTACCTAGTTCCATCTCCCCATTTCTGGGAGGTTACAAGTCTCCATGTCCAGCATTTTTTAATGTGGTTCTGGGGTTCGAACTCAGGTCCTTGTGCTCTGGCTAGCCTCACAGCCCCCTCCCCCAAAACTGACAGACTCATTAACCAAAGAGGTTAATGCCACAGTTGACAAATCTCAAGAGCAAGGGCAGCCAGGGAGGAAGTGTGGGCAGCAGGAGCTCTAGGAAACAGGTTCACCAGAAACCACAAGGTACCCATGTTTTAACTGGGTACAGGCAAGCTTCAAAAGCAGATGGAACAGGCTGTGGTTAATCCATCTCACCAACTGTGGCATCCCAAACAGTGGGCAGTGAAGACAAAGGAGCTTCACTTTTAGCAACAGAAACTTTAAAAATTTCATTTTGTGTCATAAAATTTTTATTTGTTTAAAATGAAAATGAATCTCTGATGGGAAAGAGCCTAATTCCTTTTACTAAAATGCTGTGTTCTTTCCACTTTAGGAAATGGCGATTGAGGGGCCTGCAAGATGGCTTCACAGGTAAAGGTGCTTACTGCCAAGTCTGAAGACCGGGACCCACATCATGGAATGAAAGAACCAATTCCCACAAGTTTTCTGATACCTCCTCATGTATACACACACTCTCTCATACTCTGTCTCCACCTCTCTCTCTCTCTCTCTCTCTCTCTCTCTCTCTCTCTCTCTCTCTCTCACACACACACACACACACACACACACATTTCTACATTAGTTCCTCTTCTCACTGTGATCTGATAGTCACTGGGGTCAGAAGTGTTTATTTTGGCTTACAGTTCAAGTAAATGTAGGGAAGGCACAGCAGAGGTGGTCACATTGCATCCACAGACAGGAATCAAAGAATTAGCAGGAAGTAGGGGTGGGCTATAAAAGCCCAAAGTCTGCCCTCTAATGAGCTGTTTCCCTAAAGGTTCCACAACTCTCCAAACAACACCAACTGGGAACCAAACACTTGTACCTATGGGGAAGATTTCTCATTCAAACTACATGTTCCTTCATTAATGCTGACATCACACAGCTGCTGGTGAGAAGTAGGAAACTCCTGGGGCCTGAGCTTGGAAGGTGGCCATTGGTGATGAATGGTTGGGTGGACAGATGAGTGGACAGGTGGGTGGATGAGTGGATGGATGGATGGATGGATGAGTGGGTATAGGATAGATGGGTGGGTGGATGGGTGGATGAGTGGGTGGATGGATGGGTAGATGGATGAGTGGGTAGATGGATAGATGGGTGGGTGGATGGGTGGGTGGATGGATGGGTGGATGGGTGGGTATAGGATAGATGGGTGGGTTGATGGGTGGATGGATGGATGGATGGGTGGATGAGTGGGTATTGGATAGATGGGTGGGTGGATGGGTGGATGAGTGGGTGGATGGATGAGTGGGTAGATGGATAGATGGGTGGGTGGATGGGTGGGTGGATGAGTGGGTAGATGGGTGGATGAGTGGGTAGATGGATGGGTGGGTGGGTGGGTAGATGGATGGATGGATGGATGGATGGATGGATGGGTGGGTAGATGGATGGAGAGACAGACATCAGCACACTTTTGGCTTTTGACCTCCTCTCTCTTCCCAAGCCCATCAGCCTTTCGAGGCACAGGCACACACTGTCAGTCCAACAATCGCTGACAATCAATGGCGAGTAGCGGTTACTGGAAACAATTTCCTCAAGCCTAACCCTTCTCTCTGCACAGACGGGTCTGTTGGGGTACTGGCAACTTTCAGAAGCTGACCACATGCTGACTTGATCCTCGCTGGAGCATAAAAGATGAGGAGTTCACCTCCCAGTAGCCACATAAACAGCCAGGCGTGGTGGCACATACCTACATTTACTGGGGAGGCAGAGACAGGCAGATGCCTGGAGCTCGCTGGCAAGCCACCCCAGCTTACTCAGGGAACAGAGACCCCAGGGAGGCATTCTGTCTCAGAAAACAGGTTGTCAGCTCCTGAGAGTGACACCCGAACCTGACCCCTGGTTTCCACACACATGCTCACACGTGTATACACACATGTGCACACATGCACCCCCACATACCATCATTATTTTGGGAGTACCTGGCACTGTTCTGGGAGCCCAGTGGAGGCAAAAGCATGGCTGAACCACCCTCACTCCTAATCCCCCTCCACTGTGAGGCTCTGAATGCCAGAGACTGCTTGAACCCTAGCAACCCCAGAACTTGTCACATCACTGCCTCTAGTCAGGACATCCCACCTCTCTAGGTCTGCTTCCCAACAAAACGCACACTGGGTCTGAAACTGTGTGGGTACCTGACACAAATACCACATTGACCCCTCCCCCCCACCCCCTGAAATCAAACTGTAGAAAAAACCAAGTAGACAGTGATGGTTCCTGGCCATGGGCTTAGACATGGTTATTTTTATACTACCTGAGGATTTTTCCAGAGGTCTAATTGACGCTTCCTGTAGATGACAAACCCCACGCTGGGAAAATGCAAGCCATTGCCGACAGAGCTGGAGATGCGGTGTCTTAACGCTAATTAATTTGTTATTCTCACTGCATCCTGTTTAGCAGAGCCGGGGGACCAGCAGCCCTTCAAGGTGCTGTCTGCTTGGCGTTCTTAGTCTTAAAGGGACCAACAGTTAAAGAAATCAGCGCAATGAATCGAGGGAAGATGAATAAATGTGACAATCCCCAAATAGATGTGTGGAGTTCTTAAACTTGAAGGCCAAGCCATAGCAGGGAGGAGAGAGCCCACTTCAGGGCTACCTCACCTTAAGGGTCCCATTAGCTGAGAGAACCTGGGGAGTCTATAGTTTCCAGAAAACACTGACTATTCTGCAACGTCAGAGAGTGGGTGGGGTGCAGAGAGCACCTCCAGGCATGACTTCCAAGCATTGTGCCATGGACTAAACAGAGGGACTCCAAGGGGCTTGCAGAGCGGCATGCGGAGGCTCTTAGCGCTGGACCAGCACGTGGTAGCCCTCGGCACTGGGTGTGAACTGCTCTGCAGAAAGACGGGGGACGGAAAGCTGATTGGTTACAGTGGAAGAGCGGGGCTCAGCATATGGACACCGCTCTGTCCAAATTGAGAGAAGATGGTGAAGTTCATGAACAGGAGGTTGCTGTATTAAATTTGAAAAATGATTGTTCTAGTCAGTGTGTGCTGTCACCTTGAGACAGCCTAGAGTCACTGGAGAAGGGGGTCTCAACAGGACTGCCCAGATCAGATTGGCCTGTGGGAATGACTTCACTAATGTGGGAGGACCCAGCCCACTGTGGGCAGCACCACTCCCTAGGCAGGTGGTCCTGGGCTGTATGAGAAAGCTAGCTCAGCGTGAACCTGAGAGCAAGCCAGCCAGCAGTTCCTCCATGACTCTGTCTGTGTTCTTGCCCTGCCTCTCCTTAATCACAGACTGTAACCTGTAAGCTGAAATAAACCCTTTCCTTCCTGAAGTCGCTTTTGGTCAAATATTGTGTCACAGCAACAGAAGGAAACTAGAACAATGGTGAGGAGAAAAACTAAGCCAAAAGCAAGAGAACAACCATTAAGAAGCTGAAGATAAAGGCTTGAGAACAAGCCGGCCAGCATTCCATCATTCAAAGCCCAGAACTGACTCAAAGGCAGTCCACCCGGATAAAGCAATGGGAGCATGTGTTCAGATTTATGAAGGTGGCATCAGGAGAACCCAGGGTGACCCTCTCACTGTGAAGGCCATGCCAAGAGAACTCAGGGTGACCCTCAACGTGAAGGCCAGGCCAGGAGAACTCAGGGTGACCCTCAACATGAAGGCCAGGCCAAGAGAACTCAGGGTGACCCTCACCGTGAAGGCCATGTCAGGAGAACTCAGGGTGACCCTCAACGTGAAGGCCATGTCAGGAGAACCCAGGGTGACCCTCACTGTGGAGCAGAGGACTTGTGTTTTGCATTGGAAAATCTTGTCTTTTAATTTCCACTGCCTACATGATACCATGTGTGACAGTCAGATGGCCTTTTGGTTAGATCAGCTAGTAGCTACACCTCTAGCTGTGTCTGAGCCGGTGTCTCCAGAGCGGTGTGGCAGAGGAGAGAAGACCCACTCGGCTGTGCACTGTTGCCCAGGACATAGGAGCAGGGAAGCCTAGTGAGCACTGGCTCGCACCTCGCTCTCCTTCCGGACTGTGGTGCCCTGTGACCCTCAGCTCCATGCTTCCTCTGCCATGCCTCCCTGCCATGATAGACTGCACCCCCAAACTGTGAGCCAAGTAAAACCTTCTCCTTTCAGGCTGTTTTGAAATCAGTCGGCACCTCTGTGTAAACTGGGGGTCACAGAACTGCAAGGGTCCATGAGGCAAATTCTGCATGCCTGGGGCAGGAGCAGCAGGATGTCTGCTTTCTCCTCCTTTTTCTTCCTGGGACTTCTTCACCTTGCTTTATATTTTCATGCTATGTCTCCCACACCCTGTTTGTGTCCTTCCCTTTCTGTCAGCACTGGAGAAGCAGTCACTGTCACAGGGTAAATGCCACACCTGAGACCTGTCCTCCCAAACCCACAAAATCACAGCTGGTTGGGAGGAACAAGAATGAATTCAGCCTGAGACTATGGAACTCTTGCACTGTGAGTTTTACGTTCACTAGAGGAATTGCTAAGAATGAAATAATATTTCCTATGATATCATCTCCTCTATTCACTGCTTCTAAACCTCTCCCGGGCATCTTCAACGCAAGCCACACGGAGATGACACAAACACTAGACGCCTGAGGTTTTGAGGTGATATTGTAAGCTCCTTGGCTCAGTAGCCAGACTCTTGCTAAGGCGACACAGGTGTCACACCTGTGGGCCAGGCACCTGCTGTCACATGTCACTGGTTGTGGGAAACCCTCCAACAAAGGGCAGGGTGGCCACTCCACAAACCTAGGTGTGTGACTCTGACAGCTGAGCCCTGTGGCTCCCACGTGGTCAGGTAGAAGCCATCTCACCTTAGCCGTTCCTCCTCCTTTTTGCGAAGATTGAAGTCCCTCTGTACCACTTGGAGAACGTGTTCCGTCTCATCATCTGTCAGACCCGACAGGTCCAGCTTCCTCCCCATGGTCAGAGTTAAACACGGGTGACGGAAATAGATCTGGAGAGGGAAAGGAAAGATCGCAGACTGGGGATGAGAACAAGTTCTGTGTGGATGGGATCCACCCTCCATTGACCCAGCCAAACACCGTGTTTTGGTGGAGGCACAAGCTAAGGCTGTGTGCCCCTCTGAGCTCACACTTGCTGCTTCTAGATGGCCCAGTATAGGGTAAGCCCAGCCCAATGGGGACGTGTTCACCTCGGGCTAATGTTTACACATAAATCTGGCGGGTGTGAGCCCGCCAGTCCCTTTTGTATTTCCTGCCCATTGCTGGATCCCTGGTGTTGTAAGCTATCCCTTCATTAAAATTTGCTGTTTCATATTAAGCTAGCCTGGTTATTACGTTGCATACACTTGGCACACCAACATTGGCCAAGAGGACGACTGAGCATCTGATGGTTTCATGCTCTCAACTCTTAAATGAAAACAAAGATATCTGTCAGGCACGGTGTCGCACACCTGTGACCCTAGCAACTGGGAGTAGGCAGGGTGATCAGGAGGTTAAGGCCATCCTGGGCTATGGAGTGAACTCTGGGCCAGCCTGGGATCATAGGAAGGAGGGAAGAAAGAAGGGAAGGAGGGAGGGAGGGAGGGAGGGAGGGAGGGAGGGAGGGAGGGAGCCAAACCAGCAACAACAGAAAATCTATCCTTTCCATCAAAATAAAACACAGATTTCCACAAAGCACTAAAAAGCAATAATTGAGAGTTTCTGTAATTTGACAGGTTATTTACAGGTATTCTATTTAATCATAAAATGAATTATAATGTTTTCTTTAAATAAAGGAAAATTCTATGTACACTACACCCCTTAAACTTTTCTTCAGGCCTATGCAATAACCCCTAGAAATCCCGAGATGACGAATAAAGCCAGGAAGAGTTGAAACTTTATGCTTTGTGTGTACAGTATCTTCTGTGCATTTGCAAGACAACACGAGGGCTGGGGGTGTGGCTCGGTTGGTAGACCTCTCGCCTGGCAGCTACCAGCCCCGAGTTCAGTCCCCAGCACTGTATAAAGTTGGGTGTGGTAATGTCCCATACTGTAATTTCAACACCCCAGAGGCAGAGCCAGGAATGTCAGAAGTTCAAGGTCACTGAACTTCCTTTAAAAAAAGTATTCCCTAGTTTTTAACCTATTTTGTTTTTCTTTTTGCTCTTGGTCTCAACTATATAAAGGGTTCAAGGCCAGTCTATGTTGCATGAGACTCTATCTCAAAACTGAATAAATAAAAGTAACATTAACCTTAAAATAAGCAAAATATAATCTACATGGATCATGACGAGCTATCTGAAACTATTCAAGAAAACACACTGAGATTATAGTAAAAAGTAACAACACCAGGATTACAATAAATAAATGTCCTTAATAAAGTTTCCATCGAATGGTTAAATACCTGCTATGCGTCACAAGCTTTAGGTTTTCATACACATATATTAAACACTTCTAATGCCCACTGTATCCTATGAGCAGTCACTACCCACTTACGGATGAGCAAGCAAGGCTTGCACTCACCCAGGGGTGACACCTGTGACCTGGCTGTCTCTCGGCCTCAGGGTCCTGGCCCTGCACACCCACCTCTCACCTAACAGAGGACAATGTAAGCTCCTGAGTTTCTTGTCCCTCTTTCAATGTGCACTAACTAGGAACACTAGGAATGTCAGATTCCCTTATTTTGTGTGTGTGTGTGTGTGTGTGTGTGTGTGTGTATCCCATGCTGGTGCAAGTACCTTCAGAGGTCAGAGCAGGGTATCTGTTGGGGGGCGTTGGGTCTCCTAAAACTGGATTATAGATGCCTGTGAGCTGCCAACTTGGGTGCTGGGAACTGAACTCGGGTCCCCTGAAAGAGCAGCCAGTGCTCTAACCACTGAGAAGCCCCTTCTGACTTCTTAGTTTTTGATATTTGTTTGTTGTTTGTTTTGTTTTTAGAGCAAGTTCTTGCTATGGAGCTCTGGTCTATCTTCAGCTTACTACTGGCCTTGAGCTCACAGCAATCCTCCTGCCTCAGACTCCTTATTGCTGGAGTTACAGTCACACACCACCACTCCATTACCTGGTTGCTACTTTTCTTAACAGGTGGAGAAAACAGAGTGACTTTGGTCCTTAAGTCCCTTGTTAAGTGATTTAAACTGTGTGACAGAGTAATACAAACTAATCTCTAGATTTCACCACAAATCACGGCAGGAATTTGAAGCATTCAAAAACTTCTCACTCCAGTAATTGATGAAACAAACCATCGACCCACTTTAGCCAAACAAACAACCTCGAGACCTGCAGGTCAGCAGAAGCCAAAGAAGTACAAAAGACTTGCCCAGGGAGGACACAGTCAGCCACTGCCTTCCATCCACCCCCAGGCCAGAAAAGTCCTCAGTGGGCGCAGAAGAAACATGGGTGGAAGTCTTCTTTAAACACCCCATTGAAGACCTGGAGATGGCTCAGTGGGTAAGAGCACTGGCTGTTCTCGCAGAGAACCCAGGTTCAGTTCCTAACACACACACGCACGCACGCACATGGTGGCTTACAATCATCTCTAACTCCAGCTCTATAAGATCTGATGCCCTCTTCTGGCATCTGTGGGAACCTGGCACACACATGGTACAGACATACATGTAGACAAAATATTCACATAAAGTATAAATTAATCTCAAGAAAAAAGAAAAACTGGGCATGGCCACACACCACCTATAACCTCAGCACTATGGGTGCAGAGACAGGAGGATTGCTGGGGTATGCAGCTTCCAGGTTTGCTCTGAGTTTACCAGAGTAACAATGTGGAAAATGACACAGCAGGACACTCAATGTCCTCTTCTGGCTTCCATACACGTGTGCACAGACATACACACTTGCACATGGATATGCACAGACACCACACACATATACAAAACACCCACCAAACATACATATATATACCACACACACATATAGACCATACATATATACCACATACACCCCTACACACACATACTATACACACAAATAAACCATACACACACACACCATACATACACATACACCATACACACATACATATACCACACACACACCATACATAGATATACACACCACACACACCACCCTCTAAGGGCCCTGTGGTGGACCTTCCCTGAAGGTAACATTCCCGGGACATCACTGATGATGGGAAATGGGACTCTAAGATGCCAAGTTGGCTAGATATGGCAACATGGATCAGATCGTATCTGAACAGGAATGATGGAGACTCAAAAGGACTAAGTGGCTTCTGTGCAGAAATAGATCACGTGGCTCCAAATGGCTCAGACAGAGAGCACTTTCTGAGAAATGGAGCCAGCTCTTCCCTTTCACAATAAAAATAATTAGATGCCATGCACAAAGAATCAGGCAGTGCCATAGAGTGGAGGAAAGATGCCTTTCTGCTCACGAGTCAGGGCACTCAGGCTGCACCCTGTCTTAGAAGATGAGAAAGGACACCCTGGGAGAAGAGGTCCATGTCCAGACACACAGCAGGTGTAGGCACCCAGACACACAGACACACAGCAGGTGTAGTTATCTAGACACACAGCAGGTGTAGGCACCCAGACACACAGCAGGTGCAGGCACCCAGACACACAGCAGGTGTAGTTATCTAGACACACAGCAGGTGGAGGCACCCAGACACACAGCAGGTGCAGGCACCCAGACACACAGCAGGTGGAGGCACCCAGACACACAGCAGGTGCAGGCACCCAGACACACAGCAGGTGTAGGCACCCAGACACACAGCAGGTGGAGGTACCCAGACACACAGCAGGTGGAGGCACTCCTGGCCCTATTGGGGCTGCCACCACCTGCTTCCTCTGACTGACAGTCAACCTAGATGCCATAAAGGGAACACATCCTAAAACTCAGTCATGAGAAAATTAATGCCAACTCAGCATTTAGTTATAGTGCCACCTCCCAACAGTGTTTGTTCCCACGAGCAGCCGTGACAGAGGAGCTCCTCTGTAATAAATCGGAGTGAAGTGTCACGCTCTGCCATCCTCGTGGAGTCACACAAGGCTTATGAGATAATCAGCTCTAAGAGTCTGCGGCTAAAGCAGCAGATTGAGTGTGTTTGACCCTGAACATGTGACTGCAGGGCAGTCTACTGAACAGTGCCCTTCTTCTCAGGGCTAACTGGGCAGAGTTCTGAGCTGGTGTGTGTGGCTTCTTGGATGCAATTATCAGAAGTCATGTGACAGTCATTAGTGCTTAGAATGGAGATAGGCTTGGTGGTTAAAACCACACTGCTCTTACAGAGGGCCCACATTTGGTTCCCAGCACCCACATCAGGGACTCACAATTGCCTGTAACTGTAGATCCCTCACTGTTGTAGAATATTATTTTAAGGTGTGTTAGAGCCTAGCAACAGGCGCTGTCAGAAATCCTGATTGTGCCTAGCCAATGAGGGGCAACCATGCAATGGAACACCTGGGTACTAGGAGGATATATAAGTTTTTCCCCATCATTAAATAAATGAGTCTGCTTTATCCCTTTCACTGGACTCTCAGTGTCTACGTTTGTTGATATTGTGCCTTCCTACCCTCTCTCCCAAGGAAGACAGTAGGGCTCAGTTACACCCTGCCTATAACCTGTAAGGTTACCTACAGACACAAAAACATCACCATCATAATCATAAGCAGCAGCAGCATCCCCATCATCACCACCATCATCATCACCACCACCATCATCATCACTACCACCACCACCATCATCATCACCATCATCATCACTATCATCACCATCATCATCATTACCATCATCATCACCATCATCTTCATCACCACCACCACCATCGTCATCACCATCATCATCATCATCACTATCATCACCATCATCATCACCACCACCATCACCATCATTACCATCATCATCATCATCATCATCAACATTCCCATTATCACCATCATCATCATCATCACCATCATTATCACCACCATGATCATCACCACCATTTCATTACCATCATCACTATCACCACCATCGCCATAATCGCCATCATCACCATCAT